TCCCTACACTTCTTTGGTTCCTCGGTACAATGTGGCAGTCAGACATTCTGTCCCTCCTAACAATCAACCAATCACTAACTGGCAAACTTCTCCCTTATCTTTGATTTTATAATTTTCCATGCAACTGAATCCATCATGCACGCACACATACACAAACACACACAAACAAACACACACAAACACTAAAGCCCTAATCCACAGCCCTAGTTATGCAATTCACCAGGACTCTGGTCCCAGCATGATTCAGGTGGACCCCATCCCATTGGGACAGCTCCCTCCTTCCCCAGTACTGGTGCTAATGTCCCATGAATTCAAACCCATTTCGCCCACACCAATCTTTGGACCATGCGTTTGCCCTTTCAATCTTGTTGACTCTGCGCCAATCAGCTTGTGGATCAGGTAGTAATCCAGAGATTATTACCTTTTTTGGTTCTGCTTTTTAACTTAGCCTCTGGTTGCTCATATTCCCTCAGCAGAACCTCTCTCCTCTTTCAGGTTTCTCCGCAGCCCAGAGGAGATATGCTGAACCCAGGCACCAGGCAGGCAACACAGTCTTCAGGACTCTCGATCCTGGCCACAGAGAACAGTGTCTATCTCTCTGAATATACTATCCCCGTTTACAACTACATTTCTCTTTTCCCTCCATTGAATGTCTCCCTGTACCACAGTGCTATGGTCAGTTTGCTCATCCTCCCTACAGACCCCACTCTTGCTCACACAGGGAGCAAGAATCTCAAACTTGATTGTTTGATTAATTTATTATCATGTGTACCGAAATACAGTGAAAAGCTTTGTTTACGAGCGGTACAAGCGAGCAAAGGATGTACAGATCAAAAAGACTTAGAGGCATACAGGTTACATTGCAGGTTACATTATTTGAGGCTACAGTCCATAGTCTGATAACAGCCAGAAAGAAGCTGTTCCTGGACCTGTTTGTGCGTGTGTCCTGATGGAAGAGGTTGTAGGAGATCATTACCAGGGTGCGATGGGTCTTTGATGATGTTGGCTGCCTTTCCGCGGCAACGAGCTGTGTAAATGGAGTCCATGGATGGAAGGTTGGCTGGTCCGGGCTGTGCACACCAGCTTCTGTAGTTTCTTACAGTCCTGGGCAGAGCAGTTGCCATACCAGGCTGTTATGCACCCGGTCAGTATGCTTTCAATGGTACATCTGTAGAAGTTGGTGAGGGACGTTATGGACATGCCAAATTTCCTGAGTCGCCTGAGGAAGAAGAGGCGTCGTTGTGCCATCTTGACATGGAAAAATTGTCGCATTGACATGGAAAATCCAGGACAGATCATCGGTTATCGTCTCTGTGAGGAACTTGATGCTGTTCACTCTTTCATCTTCAGTTCCATTGATGTAGATGGGGGTGTGTTCTCCTCCTTTCTTTCTGAAGTCGATGATCAGTTCTTTAGTTTTGTCGACATTGACAGACAAATTCTTTTAATTGCATCATGTCACCAAGCCCTCTATCTCCCTTCTGTATTTTGACTTGATAAGCTCAATGGTTGAGGCTCCTTCAGCACTACCTCCTGGATACCTCTACCTGCCTCGCTCACAGTGACACCCCTTGTCCCTGATCACTGTCTGAATTCGAGATCGTTAATCTAAAGGGTGTGACTGCTTCCTGAAACACAACATCCAGGTATCTCCCCTCCCTGATGTGTCACAGTGTTCGAAGCTCAGACTCATGACAACATGTATGCTGATGGGGGTGGTGTTGGTGAACCCAATGGCAATGCCAATCAAGAAGCTGGTTCAGACAAATTATGATGAGTTAATTGGGCCTGAAGATGAAGAGGAGGGTGATTTTTATGAATTTTAATACACGTTCAGAGTACTGAACCAAACAAAATTAAATTGCATAAATTTGTATACATAGCTTTTATCCTGTTGATTTTTTTGATAAATTTGATGACTTTAATATACAGAAATTAAGTTCTGCTTCGAACTTCTGAGATTATTATTTATAAATTTAAAATTAATAGTAACAATACTTTTGGAATTAATTGGGACTGGGGTTTGTGGGAACAGTCTCTGACAAGACAGCTGTGAGATGATAACACAGGGTCAATAATGACTGCTCCAAAAATTTTACTCATGTTAAAGTCGAGTACTTTTTGATTAAAAATATAGTCTTAGAAACTCAATTCTTACGCAAACATAGATGGTAAATAAAAATCAAATGGATTTGTAAAGAGAATTCATGCTGGACTAACTTGAATGAGTTTTTTGATGGAAGAACAGAGAAAATTGATGGGGAACCTGCGCTCAATATTGTACAGTTAGACTTTCAAAAGATATTTAACCAAGTACTACCAAATAGAATTGTTGGCAAATTAAAGTCCGATCAGTGGGAAACAAATACAGAGGCATATGGTTGTTTGCAAGTTGGAAAAAAGTATACAGTTCTATTTCTCAGGGGCCAATGTTTAAACACTGATATTTTGTCACGATCTGGACATACGGGACATAATTTCGAAACTTTAAGATGACGCAAACTTCAGAAATGCAGTGAACAAAGAAGAGGATAGTAGGAGATTTCAGAAGGACATAAACTAATAAAATGAGCAGACATGTGATGGGTGGAGAAGGGTCCAAGTGAAGTGATAATGAGGAAAGGCAATATGAACTAAATGGTACAATTTTAAGACCATAAGACATAGGAGCAGAAATTAGGCCATTTGGCCCATCTAGTCTGCTCCACCATTCAATCATGGCTGATAAGTTCCTCAACCCCATTCTCCCGCTTTCTCCCTGTAATCCTTGATCCCCTTGATAATCAAGAACCTATCTATCTCAGTCTTAAATGTACTCAATGACCTGGCCTCCACAGCCTTCTGTGGCAGTGAATTCCATAGATTCACCACTCTCTGGCTGAAGAGGTTTCTCCTTATCTCTGATCTAATGGGTCTTCCCTTTACTCTAAGGCTGTGCCCTCGGGTCCGAGTCTCTCCTACCAATGGAAGCATTTTCCCAACATCCACTCTGTCCAGGCCATTCAGTATTCTGTAAGTTTCAATTAGATCCCCCCTCATCCTTCTCAACTCCAATGAGTATAGTCCTAGAGTCCTCAAACGTTCCTCATATGTTAGGCTTCTCATTCCTGGGACCATTCTCGTGAACCTCCTCTGAACTTGCTCCAGGGCCAGTATATCCTTCCTGAGATATGGGGCCCAAAACTGCACACAATACTCCAAATGTGGCCTGACCAGAGCCTTATAAAGCCTCAGTAGTACATGCCTGCTTTTATATTCAAGTCCTCTCAAAAAAGTCCTCTCATTTTAAGGGGATAAACTTGCTCCCCTTTTGAGGGATGAACTGGCTCCAATTCTTTATTCACCCTCCTTTTTAAGTTGGTCGCAACAAAGTTAATTTATATAGGATCCTTTCCCTTGTGGATACCTTTCTCCCGGACCAAATGAACTTATGTTTTAAAAAACAGCCAATTTAACCAGGCTTTTCTGATTAACAAAAGAGCTAGTTTATTAATCACTAGAAGAATTAATAATGCAAATACATACAGATTAGTAATAAGAAATGTGTTGAAAGAAGATAAATGTTTAAAAAACTGATCAGCCCCTGAGTTGTTCATGAAAAGTAGATAGTGGAATGTTATGACTGTTACATTGGATGGCACTGGTAGTGTTGACATTCTTGCTGGAGCAATTGGTTTCAAGAGTCTTCGTTTTGTAGTTTGATTGAAATTCTTTTATTGTGGCTCCTTTTGATGGTGGCTGCCTGCCAGTGTTCAGAGAAGGAGAATGAGTCGTCCCTTTCTTTACCTGCAGTGCAGGGATATTTAATGGCTGTTCTCAAACTGTGACCTTCACAGTATACCAGCCCATACAGTAGCATGTATTGGCCACTAACACACATAGACAAGGAGGCTTTAAGCCTGAGATAGTAAGAACTGCCGATGCTGGAGAATCTGAGATAACAAGGTGTAGAGCTGGATGAACACAGCAGGCCAAGCAGCATCAGAGGAGTTTCTTCATTTTCTGAAGAAAGGTCCAGACCCGAAACGTCAGCCTTCCTGCTCCTCTGATGCTGCTTAGCCTGCTGTGTTCATCCAGCTCTACACCTTGTTATCTGAGACTTTAACCCTGTTTTTTTTTTGGTGAATATCCCTGGAAAGGTAAGGCACAAACATGCCTGCAGGCAATTGCTTCCTGCTGGGGTGGAGCTGGGGAGGGGGGTGGAATGCAGCCTCTGGTTAGCTCTTCATTCTCAGTCCTTCTGTTTGAAATTTCCATGGGTTCACACAGGAATCTGCCTATCGTCACTGAATTTACATCCGCAGCCCTTTTTCTTAAAAAAAAATCATGTTGGGATTAAAAAATTCAGTTAGTCCACAATTGCCTAGGGATTTTGATCCAACATCATTACAAACCAGAAATGTTATGTCCATGTCTTCATTCCCCTCACGTTTTAATATGAGTCTGGCCTATTTCTTACTTGTGTGAGGTTCAAATAGAATAAATGTGCATAAAGATCAGCAAGAAAATAATTATATTCAATATTTCTGATGGTAGTAGTCTGATGACAGAATGTTCACCTGGTGAGACTTTTCTTGGAAAAAAATTGGAGTTATGGAATTTGCTTACAAACTATCAGCAAAATTTATAAATTTCATGTAATAAAGACATAGTATGACTTGGTAATTGTAAATCAATGGTCCTGTTGAAGGTGTTTATATAGCCTTTCAAAGTAAACTCCCTACAACAGCAGAAATAATTGTTTTTCTTTCTTTCAAATGTTGATCTTTTAAATAAGTAATGACATCATCAAAACTATTTCTTAAAGGATTACTAGAAGCAAAACTAGTTTATGGAAACGGAACAGACACAATAACTGTAGTAAAACATGGATACAGATATGGAGAGGGCCATGTCGAAGAGTTTTTACAACGCGGAAAGACGCCCTTCGGCCCATCAGAATTACTAATTTATTATCCAATTAAAGACAGGACAACAAACAGAGGGAGGATACCGAGAGCACTTGTTGAGTCAAGCATTTTCTAAGGTCATTAAATTTTATGCCCTGTTCATAACAATTTCCGGAACAGCTATACCCCGTGCAGAAGATCAGGTACCAGGGAAAGGTAGCCGTTCAGGTTTCAGTTATTCAACAATGCCGTTGAAATAAGACCGGCACGTCTTGAATAAGTCATTTCTGACTCCGTTCTGGTGGTAGGGGACATTGTTTTGCTGTTGGGTATGGATCAAGCTGCAAGTACAGAAGAGGATGGTGTATTCACCACCATTTCGTTAACTGATGACCCAGGTAAAGTCGAGTTAATGATTAACTAGTAACTCAGTGCACAGGGAATGGAAAGGAGTAGAGACCTTTCTGATGCTTCGGAACTGGGATGGAATGTTTGGCTTTGGTACAGAGAAGTGGATCATTTTGAGTTAGCCAATGTTGATCGGGCAGTCCATACAACGGGTATTTGTGGCTCTAAAGCTGCACAAGAGTGTTCTTATCTACCTTTTTGACTGGAATCAACTATTTCACTTTTTTTTTAAAAGAAGTCCCATCTCGATTATACTCACGCGGCCAATTGTGAAGATGCAAAAGAAAAAGTCTGACAAAAGTGACTTATTGATGTTGCAAACGGCATTGACCGGATGTATTTGCCTATCTCGTGGTTTCCAGCTGGGGGAAACAAATGTGGTTTAAACGTGGAAAAGTCACTACGGTTTGTAAACTTGGCAACTGAATTTCTCGCCTTGAGGTGTCATCCAGTTAATCCTTAAACAAATTAAATGTGGCAATGTTGGATTTTCAACTTTCTTAAGCTTGCGTGTGCTCACGTTTTTCATGAGCAGGTTGGTTTCATTGGAAAGAAGGCACATTTCCAAAGAGCTGGTTGTTTTTTTTTTAAAGCCTGGCTGTCAGCTGTGTGTATGTGTGTTTCAGTGAACAGGAAGCCTATTTCTTCTGCCTCTGATCAGTATGTGTTAGCCTTTCCTTGCCTTCCTGGGATTTGTTCAATTCTCCCTCTTGTGGCCGTCCTGTTCATTTCAGTGTCTGTCTGAAACCTCTCGCTTACTCAACCTATATCATTGTCGACGCCTTTCTTAAATTTAAACTCCTCCAGCCCCGAGTATCTGGTACGAACAAGGTAAGTGCTGCTCTCCTGGGGAGCGGCTGGCCGGACCTAGAGAGAGAACCGCCGCAGCAGCACCATTGGTCTCGCTAGTAGCTTTTTTGCAAATGCAGCTCCTTCCCTCTTTGCAAAATAAAACTAAGGCTCTTTTGAAAATGCCGGTAGTTTAGGCCTTATCGGGAGGAAATATCCAATTAGACCCCTTCCAGAAGGTGGATTAGGGGAACTGGTGAGGTTTACATCCCAGTTCCAAGAGGAGCTGCTCTCTCTGTGTCTCAGTATCTAGCTTCAATGCAACAAAGCCGTGTCTGGCTTTTAAAAAAAACCTCCTCTAGTTTGTCATGGCCCTGGTCATACCTTTCCCCAAAATAAAACTGCTTATACTGGAATTGTTTCTACACACGGTGGGGTTTACTTTTTTTTATTTTGATTTAAAACCTGGAAATTGGGTCCTTGGTCAGTTTAATAACTGAAACGTACACCGACTCCCATTTCAGGCCCCAGGCTTGCTCCTCTCTGGAGCTACGTTAATTGATCTCAGTTTGATTCAGCTTCTACAGATTTCCCCCTCATTTCCTGGGGAGTAGAGCAAATTTGGCCACGGTTTGGATGTGGATAGGTTAGATGAAGGAAGGATGTTTCTGATAGTGAGGGAGGCCAGGACCTGGGGGGCGGCGGTGCTTATGGTTGGAGAATAGGGGGTAAGCCTTTTTAAGGACTAAGATGAGAAATTTCTTCAGCTAGCTAGTGGGCAAGCCTGTGGAATTTGCTACCTCAAAGTGATTGAGGCCAAAACATAACCCCAAACTTGCCTCACTAACAATGAGCTATCATGTTTGGACTAACTAGGTCGCATGGAGAGAAAATGGACTCTGGCAATTTCTGGTAAAATTCAGCCATGTCTTTCTTTGTTTTGCTTATGGAATGAAAAATTGATATTAGTTTAACAATTGTATGATTTCAACTTGTGTGGAAAGTGCTGTTTTTTTTGTGGATAAAGCAAAATCCAGTGTTTTTATACTTGTCAATAAGGTGATGGGCATTTGCTAAGTTCCCAGCAAGCATTCTTCATAGTTTGAGCCTAGGCAATGCTGACAAGCACTTTAGTGTAATGAGGGCATCATTGTGGAATAATCCAGTTGTCACCTGCTGCCTCTAAGCACTCCCCTGCTGGCAGGAGCTGCCGCATGGTGATCAGTAAGGTACTGTTGTTAGTTGGATCATAACATAGGAGCAGAAAGTCATTTGACCCATTGAGATCATGTCTGATCTGATAATCCTCTATCATTTTATTCCTCTGCCTTTCCCCATAACCCTTCTTTCCCTATTGATCAAAAATGTCCGTCTGAGCCTTGCGTACATTCTGACCCAGGTCAACAGCCCTCTGCAATAAAGAATTTCATAGCATCACTGCCTTCTGAGAAGAAATCCCTCTTTTTTTTTTAAAAAGTGAGTGACCACTTACCCTGAGAGATGTCCTTTGGTTCTAGACTCTCCCACGATTAGAAACAACTTTGTCTACCCTGTCAAGCCCACTGAGAATCTTTTATATATGTGAGGTTTCCTCATTCATCTAAACTCTAAACCCAGACTACACAGCCTCTCCTCATAAGAAAATCCTTCTCTGAACTACCTGCATGCCAGTACATCTTTCCTTAAATAAGGGACCCAAAACTGAGTTCAATGTGCAGTCTAACTAATGCTTTGTATAGCTTTAGCAAGATAGCCTTGTTTTTATACCCCATTCCATTTGAACTAAAGGCTAGTGTTATAAAGCGGAGGTTGACTCCCCACCCAGAGATCTAAAACTGAAGCACTCAAAGAGGAGCACTTCGCTCTATAATCTGTAAAATGAATGTGTAAAGTGGTGTAACTTGCCATTCAGCAACTTCTAGTGATTAAATAAAATAAACATCTGACACTAACTTTACAATCAACAAGTAACAATTTATTTATCTAACTCCAACGGTGAACAAATTAACTAAACTATTAACAAACTAAATAAATCCCTTCCAACTACTAACTATTCCTGAATAAAACCAAATTCTAAAAGTATGCTGTTCCAATAACTACAAGTCCCACTTATACAAAATAAAATTTAAAAATGTAGAATTTAGTCTCTCAAAATTACAGCCAGGTTACATGTCTTCTGAAATTCTGTGCCTTCTCCGTTGATTCTTCAAGAATATTCATTACTCGTGCTGTAATTACCTTTTTTTGTTCTTTAGATGGTGCTTTCTCTAAGATATAGTGAAGTCTGTGAGAGCCAGCAATTCTCTCTTGAGAATTGAGGCCTGTTAACTCTGACATAAGAACTAGGAGCAGGAGTAGGCCATCTGGCCCCTCAAGCCTGCCCCGCCATTTAAGATCATGGCTGATCTTTGAGACTCAGCTCCACTTACCCACCCACTCACCATAACCCTTAATTCCTTTACTGTTCAAAAATTTATCTAGTCTTGCATTAAAAACATTCAGCGAGGTAGCTTCAACCGCTTCACTGGGCAGGGAATTCCACAGATTCACAACCCTTTGGGTGAAGAAGTTCCTCCTGACCTCCGTCCTACATCTGCTTCCCTTTATTTTGAGGCAATGCCCTCTAGTCCTAGTTTCACCTGCTAGCGGAAACAACCTCCCTGCCTCCACCTTATCTATTCCCTTCATAATCTTGTGTTTCTATTAGATCTCCCCTCATTCTTCTGAATTCCAATGAGTATAATCCCAGCCTACTCAGTTTCTCCTCATAATCCAACCCTCTCAACTCTGGAATCAACTGCGTGAATCTCCTCTGCACCCCCCTCCAGTGCTAGTATATCCCTTCTCAAGTAAGGAGATCAAAACTGCACACAGTACTCCAGGTGTGGCCTCACCAGGACCCTATACAGCTGCAGCATAGCCTCCCTGTTTTTAAACTCCATCCCTTTAGCAATGACAGACAAAATTCCATTTGCCTTTTTAATTGCCTGCTGCACCTGCAATCCTACTTTTTAGCGATTCATGCACAAGGACACTCAAGTCCCTCTGCACAGCAGCTCTGACAGGTGGCAATTAACTCTCCTGTCTTTACACAACTGCCCCTTCTTTTATACCCTTGATGACACATCAATTTCTTACAATAGGATTGATCCTGTGTTGTCAAAACCGTCAGATTTAAGTTTAATTGGTTTTTGGTATCTAATTACCTGGTTCAAGTTGATTGGTTAAATTCAATACAACACATGTTGTCTTGGTTAAAAACTGCTGTTTGGCCTGCTAACTGTGTGGCCTTTTGATAACAAATGTTTCAATTCAGTTGTTCTCTTTCTCCATTTAAAATAATATTCAATCCCTCTTCTTCCTGCTAAAGTGCATTACCTCACAATTTTCCCACATTATGTTCCATATGCCAAGTTTTTGCCATTGATTTTTAACCTGTCTATATTCCCCTGTAGTCTCCTTGTTTTAATCCTCGTCTCTTGCCTTCCCACCTATTTTTGTGGCATCCACAAGTTTTGTGCTACGCTACTTTCACTATCCTTATCCAAGTCACTAACGTGTATTGCAAATAACTGACCATTGAGCCCTGTAGCACTTCACTAGTTAATTTTCCAATGTGAAGACTCCCCTGATTTCAAGTGCAGTTCTGTTATTGGGTAACAGCAGTCTCATCACTGCCTCAAGCTGAGAACTGGTAATCTAACAGACTAGGGATAATGTTTTGACATTGTCACCTTGATAACTTGATATGATCTCTCTACCTTTTAATTAGCTTGTACGGTTTTGGATTACTTTGTTTGGACCCTCGCCATGTGACTCTTGTACCTATTGTCATGTTATTCCAATTATTTGGTTTGTCTCCAGCACCACTGTATTTTTAATTTTTTGTAATTATTTCTCTGCATCATTTTAATTGGATTATAGGTCATCCCTTCACTTGCTAGTCAGCTGTTGACACTTTACTCACACCTTTTGACACACTTCACCTGATGGAGTAGCGCTCTGAAAGCTTGTAATTTCAAATAAACCTGTTGGACTATAACCTGGTGTCGTGTGACTTCTGACCTTGACGAGGGATAAAACCTGGGATTTCTCCGTTTTTTTTGTATGGGCTACACAATGAGATATCTAACAATTGAGAAATGAGGCGTACTTTTTTTTATGGATCTAAAAATAACTTTGTTTTTTGTTTTAGTGGATTCTGGATCTACTATCTCTGATTCAAAACTTGACAGTGACCTGTTCGTGATGAATGCAGATATGGAAGGTAAGATATAAAGTTTGAATTAACTGCTGTAGCTTTTAAAGTGCATTTCAGCTATCTCCATTCTGGATTCTACTTTCCAAAGAGAAATGTTTGCTCCTGCTGCATTCACCAAAACATTGTAAAGGTGTGTGGTTGGGATCTTGGAAATTCATACAGGAGTCAATGTTCTGTGATTTCACTCAGTCGTTACATTTTGTTGATTAGGTCTTTGACTTGAGCTTGCTGTGGACTCTAGAGTTGCTGGTGGAAGGGTGAGATTGAGTGTGATGTCTGAACTGGCAACTGGTGAAATGTGTGTGGGAACAGCCCACAGTAATTTGCTCTACTTTTTACAGTGGGAAAATTGCAACTTCACCTGCTGTACTTCAACTGGCATCATTGAGAACGGAAACTTGTGGTTGCCATGAATGTACACGCTGAACTCTAATTTTAGTTTGTGCTTGCAGCTTTATTGACTCCTTCAGAAAATTAAATTTCTTTAGACGATGCAGCCTTGGCTATAGGCACTAGCCCAAGTATAACATAAAGAAGGTCAGAGATTGTGGTTGAAGATTAAACATGTAGGGATTGAAAAATTATCTAAGCAGCTTAAGGAATTTTTTTTGTGTTATAGTCAACAACGTGCTTACAGATTTTTTTTTTCCCTATGTAAGCATTTTATTATGAATGAGTTACAAATTGACCACTAACGGATGCCTTGTGTGATATGGTATTTGTAGGTACCATGGTTATACAGTCTTTTTAATGGGGTTAACCAATTTTTACAGAACTCCAATATTCTAGTTAAAGTGAAAATGACGTGAAGAAGTGTTTTGACTTAGAAAACTGCAACCTATGACTTCAAGAAGGTCAGTCTTTTGGCCTTTCTATTAATAAGGTGAACTTGAAAATGCAGGCATGCCCAAGGAAGTATGTAAGGGACAATTCTGAGAATGATTGAAAGACCCACAGTAGGAAAATTTGAAAACCATCTGACCAGGGCCAAAACATTTTCTTTCAGATTTCTCTTTCAGCTTGTTTTAAAATTTCGTTTTTGGATCCATTCTTATTGATTCCATTATTAAATGATTTAACCATGTATCAATAACTATGCCTGTTGTATTTGTATGGGGTATTTTGACTCTTAGCAGAATTGGAAGAATCCAACAAAATGGTCAATCATCATCTTTCTACTAAACAAAAAGCCAAAACACAAGCAAACTCTCTTAATTTCTTAGGTACAAACAGGCATAAGTTAACAACCTTTTTTCTCAAAAGTAATTAATATACACAAAACCATCACCATAAATGCAATGTGCAAAGATGGTGAGGTCTAAACAGTTAAATTTAGGTGGAACGGTCACATCACCTCCGGTAGCTCATAGTATGAGAGGTACTTTGAGATGTGATAACATGTAAATGCAAGGTTTTATAAAATGAATCCATTTTATTATTATCCAGTTGACAGTGTTTATGACAAGTATCAATTATTTCGTTGCGAAGCAGTTTAGGAAAGCTTTTTTTTTTGTTGTTTTGAAGATGCTCTTCTCCACTTTGCAGCTTTGCTTCCCAGGCCCTTACCTTGCTAATGTCACTTCCTGCCCCGCCATCACCCCTCCGATTGCCTGTCCCCTGGCACGTTTGCAGACTGCTGGCACTTGGCTTCTCACTACAACTCCAATCACAGGTTATATTTCTCCTGAGTTTGCTGCTGAAAGGTCGATAGTGAACCAAATGAGTAAATACGAGAGATAACTCCTCTGATTGGGGGAGCAACTCCTCCAGTTCTCTCTGTTACACTTATGGTAGTGATTTTTCTCTGATCACCATTGGGCATTTTGGAGGCAAATTCATCTGCTT